TTTTTGGCTTTGTGGTACTCAAAATAAGGGTAACATAACCAATATATTTTTGGTTCCTTTTTGTTTAAATAGAAATAAATGAATGGAAGGCTTTATCCCTGGGAAAATCATAATATGAAGTGTTTTAAGAATTATTTGTGGAACTTTTTAACCCCCTCTTGTCACTTTAGTTTTAAAACATGCACCCTAAATTGATATTAAAAAGCAGTAAGTAGTATCCACTGTTCCATGATGATTTTAATAATGAAGCTTACCTGAATTCACTTTTCTTCATCTTTTCACTGTCTTGGTCTTTCTTTTCTCCATCCTTTGGTCTCCTCATTTATGCATCCTTGTCTGGTGGAATAACTATACATATGTTGTCATATTTTTATTCAGATTACTAACATCATTATAAACATTTTCAGCCAAGTAAAACTGTATTTCCTTGCAAATCATTAAGTGTTTAGTTGTATTGAATTATAATAAAAAGTCAGAATTTAAAAGAGCTTCTATATCACAATATAAAATATATATTCGATTCAGCAGATAAAATTGTGCTCCATTTTGAAAATAGATTTTGAAGTGTACAGTCACATATTATATTTAATATGTTAATGACAAATGTTCAGCCAATATGGAATAGGAAAGAAGAAATATTATGCTTTTTAAAATAATGTTATCTACTTATTCTTGGGCTGTTATGTAGCTGGCATGCTGTATTGGGGGCTGTCTACATGTGTTTTTTGAAATGTCATCTTTATTAGTATTACATTCAAAGGATAGTACCAAGAATCAGTTTCTTTCGAGACCTTCCTCCAGTGTGTGGCATATAAGTCTGTGACGAGCGACATTACAGAAGGTCATGTCACTTCTAACTGCTTGCATTACATCTTTCTGATTTCCCTAGTGCCCTTCCTTTGTTTGATTAATACTACTTGCTTTCAAGCAAGGTATCAGAAAGCATAATTTGGAAAGAGAATTCTAGAGCCGATCTAAGATATTCCCCCTCAAGAAAAAAGAAGAAGAAAAAAAAAAACTTTGTAAAAATATATGTTTTCTAACAATGCCTTTTTTCATCAGTCTTCATTTTTTTTTTCCTCAAGGAAATACAACATATGTATTGTTATTCAATTGCTGACAAATGTTTGGGCAAGTGGACTTTGTGTACTTGAAAACAAAACTAAGTAATCCTTCTTTGGTTTTATTTGAAGAGGGCAGAGCTGGAATTTGACACTAGGACTCTTTTTTTTTTTTAATTTGTTTTCCTTAGTTAAGTGTTAAACTCCAGTACTCTCTTTCTAAATAGTAGGTGTTATTTGAGTTCTCTGGGAAAGGTTGCAGTTTTGTGCCATCACTAAATGCACTTCAGTGACATATACAGCTTGTTTTTAAACGCTCTCAGAGTGCAGCTTCTGTATTCACTGCATTTGACCAAGGCTCACATCTTAAAGCACAGCCCAGCTTCTGAGGCACTCTTGGCCTTCGGAGCTATCTATTATTTCATTTGACCATTAAAGCCTGAAAATTAGTTGTGAAATCATTATTTTAATTGGGAATCTTTAGCCACGCCTCTACCTGTGCCCTTCTATGTTTTTAGTGTCAGTGAAATAGAAACCGGAATTTTGTATGTCATTAGGAACAGAATATTTTGCCCAGGAAAAAAATATATATAGTTTAATTTCCAAAAATTAATGTTTAAAATATGAAATTGATGTTTTTTTTAAATAGCTAACATTTTTGAGTACTTACTTCAATACAGGAACTATGCTAAGCACTTTAAAAACATTATCTCATTGGATCCTTAATCAACACATAGGATATGTGCTATTATCTCCATTTTCCTTAAGTGTCACCTGAGCAAAATGTAATAGCGTGATACATTCTGAAACAGCTAAAAGGCATCAACAGGAAACCATCTATATTATAAATCCTCACTTGTAGATGTTTATGATGTAACATTAAAAAGGCACTGGAGGAGGGGGAAGCCCTCACTAGAGTGCTAAAACACAACACAAAAGCCTCTCGCTAACACAACACTTTTCTGCCAAATGTACAAGCAAATGGTTCTATTGGGTGGTTCTGGCTGCACGTTTGTGGAGCAATTGTGCGTAGCCAATTACCCACTTGTGAGGGGTAAGCACAGTTTGGGTTTCACAAATGAAGAGCCTGATTCTGTAGACCTCTTTTAGTCATTCCTGAACATAGGATGTGGATCAGCTGACTTGTAACATGTGCAAATTAAACTATTGGTTCTTTTTATGGTTCAATAATATTTTGAATTTTTAAAAATCAACTTGAAGATAGTGACGATCTCCAAATCCTAAAACAAGGGTTAAATATTCATGGTTTGTATTTCCAGGCAAATATTTGAAGGCATTTTGAATATTTACTTTTATTTATCTACATCATTGATTAGGCATAAATCTTTCCAGGCAAGCTAGTTTAGTTCTGCGAGATACATGATAGGCACTTTACCAAAAAGTGTGTTCAAAGATATGAAGAATAGATGATGCATTCATCTGTTCACTCTATCAACAGCTTATTTCTTGAACACTCACTATGCACTATGCAATCTGCTAGGCACAACCCAATACCATTCTAGCACCTGCAATATGATAAGTACTGAAGAGGAGAGACATGGAATGTACATCCTTAACAATAACTTGTGAAAATATTCTTGGCGTTAATGCACAGGAGTAGAAGTATAGTATTCATTTGATTTTCCGTGACATAGTTGATAAATGATTTTGCATGGATAATTTTAGCAAAAAAAATTACTTAATCTAATGGATATCATATCATCATATGTTATATTTAAAGTTGGATACTTTAAATATATACAATTTTTAATTAAAACAATAAAATAGATAATGACCAAGCTTAAAAAAATGCTTAATCTAAACCTAAAATTTTAAACATTTTATTAGAGATACAAAATTATAATCATTTAAGGACTTGTGAGGATTAGGTGTTTTTTTGTTTTGTTTTGTTTTGTTTTGTTTTCCCCAACTGAGTAGGAGTTGAAAACTCACTATCTGCTATCCAACAATCTGGGTTTGAGTTCTGGTTCAGCTACTTGCTGTGTTAGGTGAATTCCTTTGATGCAACACAATGGACTGAAATATTGTGGCTGCTTTTCCTATTTAAACCCCCATCACATATAGCCCAATTTGGAATAGCCTGGCATATAGCACCTCAATTATATGTTGTTACTATTGTTGTGTGTATACTTATGATGTGACTACTTCAACATTTCAGGAAATTAAAACTCAACATGAAAAATTATCTGGTAGTCCCCGTTTAAATTCTACTGGGTTATAAGTCTGTTGAGGGCTGACATGATTATAGATGAATTATTTGTGTTATTGATTTTGTATTTCCACATTACCTAACACTGTGTTTCTTGGACAAAGGGGGTTATCATAGATGCCTATGGAGTGTCTGAATATAGTTATAGAGGGAAAGTCTAGAATGCTTCTTTCTTGCTGAAGCTGAATTGCTTTATATATTCCCAAAATAAGTGTAAACTCTCACTAGATATTGGAAACAGCACATTGTACCACTGTAGCTCTTTTGAAATACTGAACATCCGAATGAAAAACCACAAAATTCTACCATATAAAATAGAAGATTTAAAGTATGACATTAAATTAGGAACACTCTCACAGGTCGTCAGATGCTTTGGAGCATATATTGGTTCATAAGAACTGGAGGTTTGTGTTTAGGCTATTTTTTTTAATTAGTTAATGCTTTTAGAATATTTGAGAAAAATTGTTAGACTGCGAGTCCTGAGATGTTTTCTCGGTTTATGTAACTCTTTGCATAATACAATCTTAGTTATTGAAATTTTCTCTCAATAACTAAGCATTTTCCTTTCTGTATGATAAAGCCCCATGAAAGAATGCCTGCCTACCTCTGTCTTCTAAAGTTATGAGTTCTGGGAGAAAGGTTTAAAAATATTTGATAACCATGCTTCTTTCGAGTTTATTCAGAGATACAGAAATGAACTATATAAAAAAAGTACAAATGCCACAAGAATGAGACATTGTATCAAGTGGCATAAATAAAATCATAAGTTGGCATTTACCCGAATACTAACCCTCTCAACTTTTTTTTTAAATTTTTGGTTTCCATGGAGGTGTGTGTGTGTGTGTGTGTGTGTGTGTGTGTGTGTATAAAACCATAACACAACACCTGAAACACCTGAAGTCCCATTTGTAATGGCTTCAGTTATATATGGATCAAGACAAGGGGAAATTACTGGACAAATCCAAAATAACTATTCCATTCTGCTGAACTAGGTAAATTAGGAGCCATTAGAAAACACATGCATGCATATCTGTCTACAGATGATAAACTTTCGATTATTGAATACATTTATAATTTTCTCTCAATAATAATGACCATTCTCATAATGTAATCCTTGTGTAAAATCAGAGATTTAAAATTAGCATTTTAGGTAATCTACAAAATCAAAAAGGCAATACAGAAATTGTCAAGAGTTGACATTTATACATAAGAATTGAAATTGGAGCCATGGATGATATTGTTAGCTTTATACCATAGACCATCAGCCTGAATCAATGAACAGAGATAGTTTTTTTTTTTTATCATAGGGTTTGGTGAAAAGTAAATTAGAGCAGGGCTGTTTTCTGCTTAGTTATCTAGCTCCAAATTTAAAGTGTCTGATTGATAGAGACAGCAGAGTAGGTAAAAAAGAAATTTCCTGGTTTAAAGCATCCCTGAAATTAATGTTCATTTACCTTATGCATATTTCAAATTCTTTAAGTTGTCACAGAATATTGCACACAAATAGGGCTCCCCTGACTGGGATTCAGTTCCCTGGTTTTAATCAATTAAAGGCATAGCATTTTCCTCATCCCTATCTCTAGATCAAAGTCCCTCTCGGTGTATCTGTTTCAAATGTTAATAAAGTTTTCATTTCCAAAAGGTTCAAAATGACAGAACAAAATTCTCTCCTTTAAGAGCATGAAAACGACTTCTGTTTCTGTCTGCAGGTAGTGGAGGACATGCTAGAGGACGAGGAAGAAGAAGATGACAAAGATGACAAGGTAATTATCTTTCCCAGCACTTGGGTACCTGGGGATGGGGAAATGTAGACGTGACACTGTTTTCACAGACAGTTAAAAAAGGAGTTGAAGTGTTTGAGTCCAGAAAATTGGACAGTGCTGTTTATCATCCTAACAATGCCACTGTATGTTGCAAAGAGGGAGAGAGGGCTATAAATCCTCTTCGCTTTTGTCCAGAGCTGGGTCAAATATTTTTCTGCCAGGAACAAAAAAAATAATTCAGCTTGTCTGGAAGTTGATAGCTCTCGTGAAGATAACGGCAGTGACAACTGTTTGTGAAGGGCAAAAATTTGTCCTATCTTGAGTATTACAAATCGGGCTACACTTTGGGGGAAGAGAGGAGAGAAAAAATAGCAGGCTGTATGAGTTGAACATGGATATTGTCATCTGTAATTTTCAAAGAATTGCTCAGCAAAAGAACCCATGCTCCGGAGGGCATTTAAATAATCCCAGGGCTCCCTGCCCTATGCCTAGACTTGACTTGGAGTTGTCAAAGAGCCTGTTCAAAGAGGCTCAATTTTCGATGGCTGGTTGGCTTGGGGATAGTGACCACAGTAAATAACAGCTAGTTTCTGGTACTGCTTGGATTGGCTGTCTCCTGGGGAGAGGGCACAACTGGAGGGAGGAATTATTATAGAATGATCTGGCAATGCTTCAGCAGCACCTGGGATCAGAAGAACAGTTTTCTATGGCAAGCAGGATAGTGAGGCTGCTTTATCATCATCCTTGGGCATTTCTAGACCTCAAATCTAAAAATTCCTGGGGTGACATTGGGAGTGGGGAGAGAGATTGTCATTCATTATTTCTACATTGTTCGGCATGTGAAACCAGATTTTTGACCTTCACCAAAATCTATCTGAATCCTGTTATAGTGAAGCAGTGAAATTTTTTGAAGAAAGGAGAAAAGCAGTGTATCTTAATGTATGCCCTTGACCTTTGATTCCAGTAGAGATGTACAGTTATATTCCAGTGTAAGAATTTGTGTGCTGGGAGCGAGCATTGGAAATGTCAAAAAAAAAATTTGCAGTGATTGGTTAACCTCACAAATGATTTTTTTCCTCATATTCAATGCTAAAAGGAAAATGGTGACACACGCACGCACGCACACACACACACACACACACACACACTTTCTCCCTTCTAATGCTATTTCACATACTTTAAATTGATAGAGCTTTTATGTGAAATTTTTCTTCTATACATCATTTAGTCATTAGCGACATCATCAAACGTAAACCAACAAAATCCCCTTCCTGCAAAAACACATATGTGTTTGTTTTTAATGTTAAATAACATGAGCATACACTTCTGGCAATAAATGATATGATTTATTGTTAAGGTCAGTTGTAGAGCTGTAGAGAGCTTGTATTTTAACTCAACATGCCAGCTCTGAATCATCATTTCTCTGCTGATAAACACTGAGCTGCCATCCATTTATGGCCATTTTCCCTTGCTTGTTGCTGCTTTATTATTAAAGCTACCATAAAGATCCGTTCTGGCAGCGGGCGTTTCCTCAGAAATGTTAATAAATTGAAACCCTTAGTGAAGTCTAGTACTTCAGTGTCCCTGCTTGTAGTCAACGGTATTTTTTTTTTTTAGCCAGTTAGTTTGTACTCTAGTCTATACCACTGATCTCCACTTTATGGTCTTTTTTTTTTTTTAATATAGAGGATGTTAGTGGTGGGAAACCCATAGCAAACCTGATTAACCAGCTCATCAAAACATAGATGTCAAGTAGAACATTCGTGGTGAAAACAACACCAGATCTCAGGAGTAGCATCTTTGTAATCTAGTGTTTGGTTGTCTGAAATTGACACCCCCTTTCTAACACATTTTCAGATCTAGTTACCAAAGTCGTTTGAAAGGGAGTGCTTAAATTACTGTGTGAATTCAACTGTATTCCTCTGTGCAGGATGCCAACAAACAGTGTGTTTTCCATATGAAAGGATTCTGAGCTGATTTTCCTAAACCCAGCCCTTTATTTGAGTGATATATAAGGAAGTTTTTCTTTTTCACTCGTAAAGCAACTGATAGCATAAAAATCATATCTGAACAAAAAGAAAATCTCAAATGTAACAATTTACAATAGATGTTTGGGGCTTACATAAATAGAGAGAAGAATCTTGGAGTGGATGTTTTGAAATATAAAGTTTTTAGTATAAAAAATGGAAATACAAAGGATCCTTCCAATTTCTATTTACCAGCTTTCATCTCTTGACTGGCTCTTGCAGTGGTAAATGTTGTAAGTCTTGGCCATCAGTGTGTCTGAGTGGGAGAAGGGTAATTTCCTACTTTAAAAAATTCATTGGTTCCTCTATTTAAAGTTTGTGTATAGAGTCATGCATAATGGAATTTCATGAGAAAACAAATGTGTTTTTTGCCATACGAGCAGGTACTGACCTCTAGCTCTCATTATTTCTCTGTTTTCTCATATGGTATAATAGTGGGGTCAGGTCAGTGGGTCCTCTTATAGGATAAAAGTAAAAAAGATTAATAAATGTGCCAAAGCCTCACTTTAATTGAACCTGAAGCATATGTTGCAAGTATGTAAAATATGTCCCAGATGTTTCACCAGGGCTAGTGTCTTGGCTTTCCCTGATTACCACAAGGCAGCTATTAGTCCTATAACCTTTGGACTTGGGGGTAAATGGGGTATTACGTGGCACAGAATGAAAGCACCTGTTTTCCATTCAGCAAAGACCCCTGGCAGGCTTTGCCTAAGCCTATCCATATGTTTTCACTTAGCAGATTGTTGGGCGATTATGAAAAGTGTCTTTCTTTAGAGCCAGCATTGATATTAGTCACTCACAATGAAAGAGCAAGTCATTGGCTACTTGACAAGGTCCGTGTGGGCATAAACTGAAGTCGTTTATTTCATTTGAGCTTGGCGTGTTTTCCCTCAACATAATTATATAGACGGTATAAGACATTGAAGCAAAGATTATAATTATTTAACACAGTATTTTTGTAATCACTTTTCTTTACTGCTGACTTGAGAACCCTGGAAAACTTTGGTTAAAGTTGGTAAAAGCTAACTCATGATGTACCTGGATCCCCAGATCTTGAAGACTTGCACATTACGGCCTTTTGAATATTTTTGTGTGAGGTCTTCCTTCTTGCTTTACAGCTAACCAGTATTCAGGTGAGGGTTCGTGATCCTGAGACTCATCCTTCATTCCAGAATCCATTGATATTTGCTTAACTCTAAAATGAGATGGTTTGTCTCTTAATCCAATTGCATGGTTTTCACAAAAGTAGAGAACATGGATTTTAAATGGTGCATCTTGGTTATGAATCATGAACTCATTAATATTTTCACTTATCTGCATTACGTAGTTAGTACTGTGTTAAGCTGTCCTGGAGATGAAAGTTTCCCTGTATTAAATGTTAGAAAGACATACTGCATTCTCAGTTCCCTTTGCTGTGAGCATTTTCTCAGCCCTCAACCACGAAGTCACAGTTTGATCTGATTTTTGACCTGATACCAAATTCTGCCTTTGTGGCTATTAGAATAGCTTCATAAGTAAGGCTTAGCTCAATTACCTAGGTGGAGCTATCAACAAGCCATATAATAGTGTGTTTTTCACTATGTTTTATATAATACAGTGGTCAATCTGCATAATCTAGACATCTAATTAATGAAGATCGGCTTTCGTTTTGTAGCTTAAAACGTTTAGGCATGCTTCCCATGGTGTGTCCTACCCCCGTAATAGGCTCCAGCTGCAATATCAGGAAGCAGAAGATAGAACGCAGGTTTTCCTCAGGAAAAGCACGGACTCAAATGCATGGCAGTCTAGTAATGTTTATTGGTAAAAGATATTAAAATATCCAGGCATTTATGCCTACATTGCTTCTCCTTTTTGCTTCAACCGTTATGTCAAGGTTACTGTGTATCAAGGTAACTAGATGCAGTGAATAAAACATATCTGAGTAACTTCAAAATACACAGATTGTTTGCTTTAATTTCAAAATCTGTGTTTTCCAGTTTGATCCTCCAGCCCTAAGCATGTATATAATATACACGGAATGCATATGTCTCTGCGTCTCAAATCAACTGTGAGGGAGAAAAAAAAAAGATAACTCTGATACGTGATATGAGAGAAGAGTTTAATCTGACAATAAGGCATTTCCTGGTTATAGTCAATGAAATAACTACATGGTGGAGAAACAGATCAAAGCTTTGGAGAAAGGCAGGGACAGAGGAGACAAGAAAAATAATTCTTAAAAAAAAATCCTAACTCACATTTAATTGTCATACCATTGTATCAGTTCATCTGTTTTCTAATGCTACATAACAAATTACCACAAACTTAAAGTCTTAAAACAATACACATTGATTAGCTCTCAGTTCAGAAGGTCAGAAGTCCAGGCATGGCCCAACTTCAGTTCTTTGCTCAGAGTCTCACACTTAAGGTGTCAGTGAAGCTGAATTCTCATCTACAGGCTCTGCAGGAGAACCCACTTCCAAGCTCATTCAGTTTGTTGCTAAAACTCATTTCCTTGCAGTTGGAAGACTGAAGTCCTTGTTTTCTTGTTCACTTTTCATTCTTAATGGCCATTTCCGTGGCCCCTTCCAACTTCATATCCATCAGTGGAGAATTCCCCTTGTGTCAAATCTCTCTCATACTTCAAAACTTTCTTCAGGAAGAGCGTAGTCACTTTTAAGGGCTCACCTGATTAGGCCAGGCCCACCAAAGATAATCTATCTTTTTAAAAGTCAGCTAGTTATACCACATAACATAAGCTAATCATGGCAACGACTATCCTATCATATTCCTAAGTTCCTCACACATAAGGGAAGTGGATTATATATACAGGAAATATATATTAGGAGATGGGAATCTTGGTAGCCATCTCATAAGTCTGCTTACTACAACCATCTAGACCCACCTGTGCTTTAGAACAAAAATGGAACAGTCTTTGTGTTCCTTGAATATATTTATTGCTAGGCTGTGATATAACTACCCTACAGTAAATGAATA